ATGATGTGAATTAATGCTAAATTGAATAAATCCACAGACTGAATAATTCACTGTATTCTCTAAGTGTCCAAGACAACACAATTGTGCATTCATTTACCACAATATATTGCAACGTATATTTTAAATGCATATTTAATATACACAAATTACCCAATACTAATATACAGTGTCACATTTTAACATTTGTCAAATGATTTTATCTTAAGCATCTTACACACACAATGTACTGTGATATTAGCAGTGCTCAAATAATAGATATAAAGAGAGAAACAGTAATATAAAAATCAGAACAATGTACATAATTTTTCCAAAATTTCACAGAAAAATGAGGATGGATGGATGGATGGATGGATGGATGGATGGATGGATGGATGGATGGATGGATGCATGGACATACTGATGGACAGACGGATAGATGAATGGGTGGACGGATGGATAGATAGATAGATAGATAGATAGATAGATAGATAGATAGATAGATAGATAGATAGATAGATAGATAGATAGATAGATAGATAGATAGATAGATAGATAGATAGATAGATAGATAGATAGATAGATAGACAGACAGATAGATAGATAGATAGACAGACACTCAAAAGGATGGATGGATGGATGGATGTATGGATAGATAGATAGATAGATAGATAGATAGATAGATAGATAGATAGATAGATAGATAGATAGATAGATAGATGATATGATAGATAGATAGATAGATAGATAGATAGATAGATAGATAGATAGATAGATAGATAGATAGATAGATAGATAGATAGATAGATAGATAGATAGATAGATAGATAGATAGATAGATGATATGATAGATAGATAGATTTGATAGATAGATAGATAGATAGATAGATGGATGGATGGATGGATGGATGGATGGATGGATGGATGGATGGATGGATGGATGGATGGATGGATGGATGGATGGATGGATGGATGGATGGATGGATGGATGGATGGATAGATAGATAGATAGATAGATAGATAGATAGATAGATAGATAGATAGATAGATAGATAGATAGATAGATAGATAGATAGATAGATAGATAGATAGATAGATAGATAGATAGATAGATGGACAGTGAAGTAAAAGAGCTATGGAGAGTGGGGGAAGATAACATAAGAAAATAACTGAGGAGTCGAGATGAAAGCACTGTGGCTAGGGGAGCTGTGTGTGCGTGTCTGTGTGTGTGTGTGTTCAGTAATGTGGAATAAGGCCAATCCTGTCTGCCTGACGAACTGAAATATGCTTGAGTAACACCCTGAGGTGCTCGGCACATAAATACACACGCTCAAAGACCAAAAAAAAAAGATGCTGTCATCCGAGCGCTACATTCATAAGAGTAATGTCATTAATATGATGCTTATGTACACAGACAGAGCACTGACAATCCGATAAAGCACAAACACGACGCTGACTCCCACAATCACACACACGACTCTCTGTGTGTGTGAGTGCGTGTGTCCTTCACAGGGGGCTGAATCTGTTGACACCATCTGCTGACTACGCCATCAACATCTCCATCTAAATCTATTTCATCTATTAAACGCAGCTCCGCTACACAACAGCACGCTGACCCACAAATACATGTGTATTTTGTACACTGTACATCGCTCTGTTTCTTTTTTCATAATTCCCAATGCAGCTTATTCTACCCTCTCATCTTAGGGAAACGGATGTGTTGCTATGGATACCAGACAGAAATGAATGGGAATCAGCACGTTCAGTGTGATAGTATGCGTCTGAAAGCTTAAGCAGCTGGCTTTTGTGCACGAAGTAATCCACAAAGTGTGCAGGCAGTATTTGTACATGAAGGTAGCTCGTAAAATAGATTTCAGAAAGATTTCTGAGACGCCATACTCTCAAAGAAATGATGCTCAGTGGTTAGCACCGTCACCGTCAGGTAGGGTTGTAACAATATACCGGTATGACGGTCTACCACGATTTGAACGTGCACGATTATCATACCATGAACAATTGCATATCAACGGTTTTAACCCTTAAAGACCGAGACAGCCGCCCGAGGCTAAAAATAAGTATTGCTCTTAAATGTTTAATAACTTTTGATCCGCTGATCCGATTCATACAATTCAAAGATTGGCATAAAGAAGAGAATCTCATCTTTCCAGTGCTGTATCACATAACATTTCAGACTTTCAGAGGATCCGGAATCAGTGCAGTTCCGTCATCAAAATTTGACCACGCTGATTTGACAAAGAAACGCTCGTCACTGTGTCTCCGGACAAACCAGACATGATACATTGATGCATTGTCCCTCCTTCATGCCCAGATTGGTTCAAACTCGCTATATCACAACCAATAAGCATAGGTTTCGCTTTTGTTTGTGGACCAAAAAACGAGCTTTTTGAACAACACAGAATGAGAGATAGGCATACATTTATGCGCGGCTAAATAAAACGCAAAAAAAAAAAGTTTTGCATGAAATTATTCTCATACTAAGTACTTTTGCATGCACAGCAGCACAGAAACATGACAAAACAGTGACACAGCAAAGACGAAATGCTGCTCTTGCTGTTTTCAAAAGACGCGGTGAAGGTGCAGCTGTTTGTCTGCATTGCAGACAACCATATCCAAATCCATATCCACAGACAACCATATCCATGCTGGCACATAAAACCTAAGGATGTTCCATATTGAATCTAGTTTCGTTATGTTACTATTTATAGTATAGTAAGTATTTATATCTATTTTTTATTGAGGATTTGCACCATGTTTATTTGGACTTTGACACATTATTTATTATTTTCTTATTTTTTTATTTGTTCATTGTAAGTGGTGTTGTTTATAGTAACTAAAAATATATTATTTGGAAAAAGTCAAATTTGCTTCACTGTTCTATTATTTTGTAACATTTGTAACATACCGTATACCGCGAAACCGTCAAACCGTGGTATTATTTTAGACGATTATCATACCGTAAAAAATTCATACCGTTACAACCCTACCGTCAGGTCACTGGTTCGATTCCCGGCTGGTAAGGGTGTCACGATTTCGATTTTTACAATTTTTTATCGACATCGACTGAAAGTCATGCTTAATCTCGATTATCGAATCAAAAAAATGGAATCGTCAATGCTGCCAAGCCCCCATGTCACGTCAGCTTGGCTTGCCAAGCGAAAAAAACAGGCTTGTTGAAGTCCTGCGACTCAAACTAAAAGTTACAACAAACAGCCAAAAGATAGCATAGCAACTGCAGACGCAGGAGACCCGTCGACAGAACTTGAACCCCCTTCTCTTTCACTAAAAGTCGCTGGTGTGGAAGTATTTTGGATTTCCAATGAGTTAAGGCTCGTACACATCGGGACACTTTTAGTTTGCGTTTATTGTCAGCGTTTTTCAAGACGTTTTTCTGCATTCAAACCCAAACGATTGTCACTGGCATCAAGCAGAAGAGTATAAAAATCACTCCTTGACGTTAGATGGCGCTACACAGCTTTAAGCTTCTGACACGCCGCTTATAACACAGACGAAGAGGAAATGCCTTGTTGATGCCAGAGGTCAGTAGAGAATGGCCAGACTGGTTCCAGGTCATAGAAAAGCAAAAGTAACTCAAATGAGCACTCATTACAACCGAGGTCTGCAGAAGAGCCTCTCTGATTACACAACACGCCCAACCTTTAAGCAATTCGAGATTCACATCATGAATATGCAGCCGACAAGTTTGCAGCAACTGCGTGATGATATCATGTCAATATGGAGCAAAATATCTGAGGATTATTTCCAGTACGTTGTTGAACCTATGCCACGAAGGATTAAAGCAGTTCTGAAGCAAAAGAGGGACCAACTCGGTACTAGTAAGGTGTACCTAATAAAGTGGCTGGTGAGTGTATGTTGCATCATCATGTCCATGTGTTGTGTGATAAGTCGATATATTGATTAGTGTGGAACCAAGCATTTTGTTACAGTGTACTGATTGGTCATGTCCAACAAATTATTAGAAAAAGCTTTGGTGATAATAACTTGGGGAGTATTTGCTTACTACAACACTAAATTCTCACTAGAAATGCCATCATAAGGGTAAAATGGGTAAAAACAAACTTATATGAAATGACACTCAAGCAGCACTTCGAGACATCATCCATTCTTTGCTTAACTGTAGTAAATGTGATGCACAGGATTGTGAGATATTGAAGGCAGCAAAGTACAGTACACTTCTAAGCTGTCATATATCAGAGATACACTGCCACATTTATACTTTGAAATGCGAACAGAAGAAAGTGCCTCCTGAGACAGAATGTGATGCAGAATTTGGTTTCAGATGTGCCTTTTGATGTCGTTTTTTTAAAGCATTAGAATATTAACGATGGGTAGAGTTATCATCACGTCTGAAAACATATGCAACTGAGATAGAAAACAGATAAAAGTTAAAAGTTACAGCTTAAGATCAGGGAAAATTAAAGTACAAATACGCTAAACAATATATTATCCACCACAGCGGCATATGTTTTACGTAGCGGATGCCCTTCCAGTACTGGGAAACACCCATACACACTTACATTCACACACCCTCATACAATACGGCCAATTTAGTTCATCCAATTCCCCTATAGCGCATGTAATTGGACTGTGGGGGAAACCGGAGCACCCGGAGGAAACCCACACCAACACGGGGAGAACATGCAAACTCTACACAGAAACGCCAACTGACCCTGCTGGAACTCAAACCAGCGACCTTCTGGAGTTTTTTTTTTTCTTTCTTTTTTTAACGCCATCAATGTATTAAATCAGACAGACCAGCATGTATACTTATTAAATCCCCAAAACTCTCTAAATCAAATCACAGTTTTCTTGTTCAGAGCCCTTCTGCCGGGGAAATGCAAGAGATTAATCTTTCAGATTGTTTAGATACATCAACAGAGAGTCTCCACGGGGTGAGGAGAGGACATTACAGTGGGCAAACAAATAAATAAATAAAAACAGAAACAATATAGAAACTATAGCAAATCACAACAAAGTATTTTATATTAACTTCGTTTTACCTCTCCAGAGTCTCTCCTCCTGCGATCTGGTATGACTAGAGTATTCCTATTACTGCCTGGTGCTATAGTAGAGCCGATACTCATTCTGGGTCCGACTAACATGTAGCGTTTGTCTCCAGATCTGTACTGGATGCTGTGACACAGAGTCCCGTCATAATTTGTGTCCTGTAAATACTTGGACGAATAGTCTGTAGATTTGGAGCACTGCATTACAATCAACACGATGATGCTGATGACGAAAAGCACCGAAACCGAGCCCAAAGTGATGATCAAATAAAATGTCACGTTGTTTTCCTCCTCGTCTTTCTCTGCGTTTTTAACATCAGAAGCTGCAAAAGCCTCTTTGGGCTCCACAACTTTGACAATCACAGTCGCTGTTGCTGAGAGGGAAACGTTCCCATTGTCTTTGACCAGTATGACCAGTTTATGCTGGGCCTCGTCTGTTTCTGTGAATGAGCGAAGGGTCCTTATCTGTCCTGTATAGCGGTCCAAAGCAAAGAGACTGTGCTCACTAACTTCCTGCAGTGAGAATAATAACCAGCCGTTGTATCCTATATCTGCGTCATAGGCTCTGACTTTAGTCACCAAATGACCTGCGTTCACATTACGGGGAATCTCTTCCACACCCTCAGCAGAACCGTTAGCGCTGACTGGATATAAGATCACTGGAACGTTGTCGTTCTGGTCCAGAATAAACACGTTCACTGTCACGTTACTGCTCAGAGATGGACTTCCAGAGTCTGTTGCAATAACATGAAACTGGAACATTTTTATAGTTTCAAAGTCAAACCCCTTCAGGCCATAAATCTCCCCGTTCTCTGAATTAATATTGATGAAAGATGTATATTTGTTTTCATCTCCAGAGTCTCTCCAAATGCTATACTTTACAACAGCATTGTCATCCAGATCGCGATCAGAAGCAGACACAGAGAACAACAATTTCCCTGCGATGTTGTTTTCAAACACATAAAAAGCATAGGGTGAAAGAGAGAACTGTGGACTATTGTCGTTTACATCTGACACCTGCACAGTTATAGTCTTAACTGAAGACAGCGGTGGCTGCCCAGCATCTTTGGCTAGTAATGTGATGTCATAGCGAGGTACAGATTCTCTGTCAAGAGATGAAGCAGTGACAAGAGCGTAAATATTATCTTGAGATGATGCCATCAACCTGAAAGGAGTGTCTTCAGTTATGTAGCACAGCACTTTCCCATTTACACCAGAATCTGAATCACTGACACTGATTAAAGCTACAGTGGTTCCAGTTTTGCAGTCTTCAGGCACTGCACTTGAGAACGACGTCACTTCTATCTCAGGCACGTTGTCATTTACATCTATGATTTTTATGGTTATACTCTTATCTGACGTCAGAGGAACTGATCCTTTGTCTGATGCTTGGATATCTATTTCAAAGCTATTCATCTCTTCAAAGTCTATTTGACCAATCACTGTCATTTCTCCTGTGATGGAGTTTAAATCAAATAGTTTTGTCAGTCTACTGTCTATATCCTTTCCAAACGAATAAAATACTTCTCCATTTGGTCCATCATCCATGTCAGTAGCATTAACCTGTATAACAGTAGTACCAACTGGGACATTCTCCTTCAGAGTTACACTGTAAACCTCCTGTGTGAAAACTGGCATGTTGTCATTCACATCTAAAACATCAACTATGATCTCCATTGTTCCAGATTTGGGTGGTCGTCCTCCGTCGAGCGCAGTGAGGACTAACTTGTGTTTACGGCTGGTTTCTCGATCTAAAGGCTTTTGTAGGATTAAAAACGGCATTTTTCGGTCTTCCCCGCGATCTTTAACTTCAATACGGAAGTGATCATTATGGCTGAGTTTATATTGCTGAACGGAGTTCACACCGCCATCCGGATCCCGCGCCGCCTGTAACTGATACCGAGCTCCAGGTAGGGCAGATTCCCAAATTTCTAGCAGCTTTTGTTTCTCTGGGAATGTCGGAGCATGATCATTGACATCCACGATTTCAATCGACACATAATGAATCTCTAGCGGGTTTTCTAGCGCAATCTTCAGATTGATATTACATGAGCTGATTCTCTCACACACCACCTCGCGATCTATTTTCCCATTTACACTTAAAATCCCGTCGTTCTGGTTTACCGTGAACAGCGAGTCGCCGGAGGTCGAAACGATCCGAAATCCTCTCTCCTTTAACGTCCGTGGGTCGAGTCCTAAATCCTTCGCAAGATTTCCGACGACAGCTCCATCTTTTTGCTCCTCAGAGACAGAATATCGTATCTGTGCGCAGATTTCTCTCCAGAACAGCATTCCCAGTGCCAAACATGTAAGCGCGAGGCGCCATGACGAACGCGCCCTTTGTTGCATTCTGCAGGACATTCCCGTTTAAACTGATCCCAGTCGCGGTAAATATGAGCCCATAACAAACATAAGCTTTAAGCATAAAATTCCTGTTTTGTATTGTAAAATCCTTACAGTATGCTGAAGCAGATACAGCTCTGGGCGGATGTGAAGGCGACATCCACGGCGATCATAACGAACTGACTGAGCGAATGAAACTGCCAACACGCGATGCCACAGCAGCTCCGACTTTTTGGTGTGTGCTGACACCATGCGAATTTATTTTTCACTGCAAACGAATAAATATTGAAAACCACTATAGCTAGCGGACGTCGGAAGAAACGAAAGCCTTTTAAAGAGAAAACATATTGGAATAACACAAGCATTTAGTCTATATAAATACAAATAGCGTACGTAATTAATGTTCTAGTTACTGCCACTGCTTGAATATTACTGCATTAAATATAGTCTATTTTAAAATATCCCGTACATGTCTATATTTGTATATATAGACATGTAAAAACAAATATGTGCTGGTTAGCTTGAGATGTTTTGCCTATGCCAATGGCATTAGAAAGTAGTTCATAACAGCTAAACCTAGATTAATCAGGTGTTACCTAATAATTGCATATCAGTCACACATGCATACAGATCATACACTAATCTTCTATGGAACTGACTTGTTTACCTGGATACACCAAAAATTGTTTGAGCAAATTCTACTGTCACTTTCTCTTCTCACCACTGACTAAACCTCTAAAATACTTTAAATATGTTAAAGCCAAGTCTTCTATTAGTATGCCTGCTGCCTGCACAAATAAACACAAATACAACAAATATTACAACATTTTTAAAGAGTCAAAATTGACCCAAATGAATAAATGGAGAGATAAGATGACCACTAAAAATATGTGAACTATTACTCAATAGTAAATAGTTAAATCTGCTTTACTCCTTCGTTCTGTGTACAATAGTGCTACTATTTTCTGTAGAAACTGTGTAGAGCTTATATAAATGTGGAGCAACAACATGCAAACAGAAAACAAATGGATACGATTGACACATTTGCATGGTTTGCTAGATTTATCCAAATTTATACTAGAAATACACTATCAAAGTTAATATAAAAAGCGATTCAATTAGTCCTACTCCCTACATTGAGGATAACATCACAATTGTAGCAAATACATACGCAAATTATTGTTCCCCATAAGCAAAACAGAACTTCACCAAAAAAATTAAAAAATTAAAAAATTGACAGATTTTACATGCCTAAATGTGATGCAACTATTTGATCACATTCAGTCTATTGATTAATGGCAATAGATAAATATGTGTAAAAGCAACTCAGACCCTAAAGTTTCTTACCTCTCCAGAGTCTCTCCTCCTGCGGTCTGGTATGACTAGAGTATTCCTATTACTGCCTGGTGCTATAGTAGAGCCGATACTCATTCTGGGTCCGACTAACATGTAACGTTTGTCTCCAGATCTGTACTGGATGCTGTGACACAGAGTCCCGTCATAATTTGTGTCCTGTAAATACTTGGACGAATAGTCTGTAGATTTGGAGCACTGCATTACAATCAACACGATGATGCTGATAACGAAAAGCACCGAAACCGAGCCCAAAGTGATGATCAAATAAAATGTCACGTTGTTTTCCTCCTCGTCTTTCACTGTGTTTTTAACATCAAAACCTGCAAAAGCCTCTTTGGGCTCCACAACTTTGACAATCACAGTCGCTGTTGCTGAGAGGGAAACGTTCCCATTGTCTTTGACCAGTATGACCAGTTTATGCTGGGCCTCGTCTGTTTCTGTGAATGAGCGAAGGGTCCTTATCTGTCCTGTATAGCGGTCCAAAGCAAAGAGACTGTGCTCACTAACTTCCTGCAGTGAGAATAATAACCAGCCGTTGTATCCTATATCTGCGTCATAGGCTCTGACTTTAGTCACCAAATGACCTGCGTTCACATTACGGGGAATCTCTTCCACACCCTCAGCAGAACCGTTAGCGCTGACTGGATATAAGATCACTGGAACGTTGTCGTTCTGGTCCAGAATAAACACGTTCACTGTCACGTTACTGCTCAGAGATGGACTTCCAGAGTCTGTGGCGAGTATGTGGAACTGAAACGTTTTGGAAGTTTCAAAGTCAAAACTCTTCAGCGCATAAATCTCCCCATTTTCAGAGTTAATATTAATGAAAGATGTAAATTTGTTTTCTGCACCACCATCTCTCCATATCTGATAGCTGACAGCACTGTTTTCACCGGTGTCTTTGTCAGAGGCGGACACAGAGAATAAAGATTTGCCTGGAGCATTATTCTCCATCACATAAAATGCATAAGGAGAGGAAGAGAACTCTGGACTATTGTCATTTACATCTGATATCTGAACAGTTACAGATTTAACAGAAGACAGTGGTGGTTGACCAGCGTCTTTGGCTTCTAATGTAATGTCATAGTGAGCAATGGTCTCTCTGTCTAGAGCAGATGTTGTCACTAATGAATATGTATTTTCTTGAGATGATGGCATTAGCTGGAAAGGTATGTTCTCAGATAATGAACAGGTGACTCTGCCATTTATCCCAGAATCTAAGTCAGACACACTTATTAAAGCCACTGTTGTTCCAGGTTTAGAGTCTTCTGGAATGGTGCTCGACAATGACGTCACTTCTATCTGAGGTTCATTGTCATTCACATCAGCGATTTTTATAGTAATAATTTTATCTGTTTTTAGTGGAACAGTTCCCTTATCTGAAGCTTGAATGTCAATCTGATATTTATCTTTGACCTCATAATCCAATAGACCTGTCACGATAACGTCTCCTGTGACTGGATTTACATCAAATAGTTTCCGCAACTTGTAATTAACATTATGCCCCAATGAGTAAACTACTTCTCCGTTCTGTCCTTCGTCCGGATCCGTTGCGTTCACCCTGAGAATGGTTGTGCCTACAGGAGTGTTTTCATTCAGTATTACACTGTAAGTATCTTTAGTGAAAACAGGTGCATTATCATTAATATCTAGCACATCTATAATTATAGCCATCGCTCCAGACTTTGGTGGTCTGCCTCCATCTAAAGCAGTTAACTGCAGCTTTATACTTTTTGTAACCTCTCGGTCAAGCGGCTTTTGCAAAATAAGCGCCGGAACTTTGCCATCTTCGTCGCGATCTATAATTTCAATACGAAAGTATTCAGTGTGGCTCAGTTTATAAGTCTGAACTGAATTACTGCCACTGTCTGGATCGCGCGCAGCCTGAAGCTGGAAACGCGCACCGGGAAGCACCGTTTCGCTTATTTCTAAACGCGTTTCCTGCTCTGGAAACATCGGTGCGTGATCATTCACGTCTATTACATCAACAGTCACATAATGGATCTCGAGAGGATTTTCTAAAGCAAGTTTCAGATTGATTAAACACGGGGTGCGTCTTTCGCACACAGTCTCCCTGTCTAATTTACCTTTCACATACAAGACACCGTCGTTCTGGTTTACACTAAACATGGACTCGCCTGAGGTGGAGACAATGCGAAATCCTCGCTCCTTTAAGGTTCTATGATCAATACCCAAATCCTTAGCAACATTTCCCACAGCAGTTCCGTCCTTTTGCTCTTCAGAAATAGAGTAGCGTATCTGTGCCAAAACGGTTTTGCCATAAACAAATAACACAACAAAGAAGAGTATTTTCACACGCCACTCCCGCCGCTGATCGGGTCTCCTTTGTCCCATTTTTGCAGCGTATAATATCCACAGCAATGCCACAACAAATGTCCAAATATTAGTCCAATGGTCACATACCAGAAATTCCACAAATCTTGAAATATATGACTACGAAATCGATAAACAAAATGAGCGAGCAAACTGTGTAGCCGAAAACAGACTGATCGTGTACAAATGTAAGCCACGAAAAAAAAAAGCAGGGAGGATCTGTGACGTTTTAAATCGTATTCTGGGTTTACACTGACACCTCGCGCTTTTCATATGCATTGCTGTTCATTAAAGCCTACCACATTTTAAAAATTATTTAAACTAAACCTTTTTCTAGTTTCTTTAATGGCTTGTTATGTACCCAAAATAAATATATAGCAATAGCGTTTTATGCAGTGTAGAAGCGGCATCACAAAATCAGCACCAAGGACAGCGGCTCGGCCGCTCCTGCTGTATTTGTATATCCATATATAAGTCTAAGGCACAATCCAATAAAAAAAAACATATTGAGTTCAGAGGGAGATTTAGCTATATTGAAGCGCACTGTTGTAATATGGATTAATCACAATGTCACCGGAGTAATTCTAGCAGTCGTTGAGCTCAGTATAAGTAAGAAACAATAAACATAACAATTATGACCATGAATAAAATATAGCAAAATGCTAATCTTGTTCTTACCTCTCCAGAGTCTCTCCTCCTGCGATCTGGTATGACTAAAGTATTCCTATTACTGCCTGGTGCTATAGTCGAGCCGATACTCATTCTGGGTCCAACTAACATGTAGCGTTTGTCTCCAGATCTGTACTGGATGCTGTGACACAGAGTCCCGTCATAATTTGTGTCCTGTAAATACTTGGACGAATAGTCTGTAGATTTGGAGCACTGCATTACAATCAACACGATGATGCTGATGACGAAAAGCACCGAAACCGAGCCCAAAGTGATGATCAAATAAAATGTCACGTTGTTTTCCTCCTCGTCTTTCTCTGCGTTTTTAACATCAGAAGCTGCAAAAGCCTCTTTGGGCTCCACAACTTTGACAATCACAGTCGCTGTTGCTGAGAGGGAAACGTTCCCATTGTCTTTGACCAGTATGACCAGTTTATGCTGGGCCTCGTCTGTTTCTGTGAATGAGCGAAGGGTCCTTATCTGTCCTGTATAGCGGTCCAAAGCAAAGAGACTGTGATCACTAACTTCCTGCAGTGAGAATAATAACCAGCCGTTGTATCCTATATCTGCGTCATAGGCTCTGACTTTAGTCACCAAATGACCTGCGTTCACATTACGGGGAATCTCTTCCACACCCTCAGCAGAACCGTTAGCGCTGACTGGATATAAGATCACTGGAACGTTGTCGTTCTGATCCAGAATAAACACGTTCACTGTCACGTTACTGCTCAGAGATGGACTTCCAGAGTCTGTGGCGAGTATGTGGAACTGAAACGTTTTGGAAGTTTCAAAGTCAAAACTCTTAAGCGCATAAATCTCCCCATTTTCAGAGTTAATATTAATGAAAGATGTAAATTTGTTTTCTGCACCACCATCTCTCCATATCTGATAGCTGACAGCACTGTTTGCACCAGTGTCTTTGTCAGAGGCGGACACAGAGAATAAAGATTTGCCTGGAGCATTATTCTCCATCACATAAAATGCATAAGGAGAGGAAGAGAACTCTGGGCTATTGTCATTTACATCTGATATCTGAACAGTTACAGATTTAACAGAAGACAGTGGTGGTTGACCAGCGTCTTTGGCTTCTAGTGTAATGTCATAGTGAGCAATGGTCTCTCTGTCTAGAGCAGATGTTGTCACTAATGAATATGTATTTTCTTGAGATGATGGCATTAGCTGGAAAGGTATGTTCTCAGATAATGAACAGGTGACTCTGCCATTTATCCCAGAATCTAAGTCAGACACACTTATTAAAGCCACTGTTGTTCCAGGTTTAGAGTCTTCTGGAATGGTGCTCGACAATGACGTCACTTCTATCTGAGGTTCATTGTCATTTACATCGGCGATTTTTATTGTAACACTTTTATCTGTTGTTAGAGGAGCAATCCCTTTGTCAGATGCCTGAATATCAATCTCGTATATATCTTTTACTTCAAAATCTAACAGACCTGTCACAACAATTTCTCCTGTGACTGGATTAACGTTAAAAAGTTTACGCAATTTGTCATTGACGTCATGCCCTAATGAATAAACAACTACTCCGTTTTGTCCTTCATCCAAATCAGTTGCATTCACCCTAAGAATGGTTGTGCCAACTGGAGTGTTTTCATTGAGTGTGACACTGTACACTTCTTTAATAAATACAGGTGCATTATCATTAATATCTAGCACATCTATAATTATAGTCATCTTTCCAGACTTTGGTGGTCTGCCTCCATCTAAAGCAGTTAACTGCAGCTTTATACTTTTTGTAACCTCTCGGTCAAGAGGCTTTTGTAAAATCAAAACGGGAACTTTGCCGTCTTCATACCGATCTTTAATTTCAATACGAAAGTATTCAGTGTGGCTCAGTTTATAAGTCTGAACTGAATTACTGCCACTGTCTGGATCGCGCGCAGCCTGAAGCTGGAAACGCGCACCGGGAAGCACCGTTTCGCTTATTTCCAAACGCTTTTCCTGCTCTGGAAACATCGGTGCGTGGTCATTCACGTCTATTACATCAACAGTCACATAATGGATCTCGAGAGGATTTTCTAAAGCAATTTTTAGGTTGATTAAACACGGGGTGCTTCGTTCACAAACATTCTCCCTGTCTAATTTACCTTTCACATACAAGACACCGTCGTTCTGGTTTACACTAAACATGGACTCGCCTGAGGTGGAGACAATGCGAAATCCTCGCTCCTTTAAGGTTTTGGGATCAATACCCAAATCCTTAGCAACATTTCCCACAGCAGTTCCGTCCTTTTGCTCTTCAGAAATAGAGTAGCGTATCTGTGCCAAAACGGTTTTGCCATAAACAAATAACACAACAAAGAAGAGTATTTTCACACGCCGCTCCCGCCGCTGATCGGGTCTCCTTTGTCCCATTTTTGCAGCGTAAAATATCCACAGCAATGCCACAACAAATGTCCAAATAATAATCCAGTGGTCACATACCAGAAACCAGAAATTCAAAATTCCTCAAATATTGAAGGATATTACAAAGAATAACGATTGACAAAAGCAGCGAGCAAACCGCGTAACTGACGACAGGCTGATCATGTATAATCTAACCAAGAGAGAGAGAGAAAAAAAGCAGGGAGGTTCTCTGTTATTTTAAATCGTACACTAGGGTTACAGTGACACCTCGCGCTCTTCAGTTGCATTGCTGTTCATTAAACCGCACGAATTCATACTGAAAAAAACTAAACCTTTAAAAAAATATTCATCTATAATCTTATTCAAAACTTACACACACAAATAAAAAAATAAACCGAGACAGCGTTATATGCAGCGTAAAGCAGCATCACGAATTCAGCACTAAGGACAGCGACACATTCGCTGTATTTGGATACATAGCTTGTTTACAGTCATCCGATTTAAATATATATATATATAGAAAGAAAGAAATAAGTAAAGAAAGAATTTACAGGCAAGTGTAACTACACATTCACTCAGCTCAGCTGCAATACTGCAATAGTTATTGTCAACATGTTACGAGGTTAAATGAATGCGCTCAGCAGATAAGAAATAATAAAAGTATAAAAATATTGACCATGAATACAACTTATAGCAAATATCTATTTTGTTTCTTACCTCTCCAGAATCTCTCCTCCTGCGATCAGGTATGACTAGAGTATTCCTATTACTGCCTGGTGCTATAGTCGAGCCGATACTCATTCTGGGCCCAACTAACATGTAGCGTTTGTCTCCAGATCTGTACTGGATGCTGTGACACAGAGTCCCGTCATAATTTGTGTCCTGTAAACACTTGGACGAATATTCTGTAGATTTGGAGCACTGCATTACAATCAACACGATGATGCTGATGACGAAAAGCACCGAAACCGAGCCCAAAGTGATGATCAAATAAAATGTCACGTTGTTTTCCTCCTCGTCTTTCACTGCGTTTTTAACATCAGAAGCTGCAAAAGCCTCTTTGGGCTCCACAACTTTGACAATCACAGTCGCTGTTGCTGAGAGGGAAACGTTCCCATTGTCTTTGACCAGTATGACCAGTTTATGCTGGGCCTCGTCTGTTTCTGTGAATGAGCGAAGGGTCCTTATCTGTCCTGTATAGCGGTCCAAAGCAAAGAGACTGTGCTCACTAACTTCCTGCAGTGAGAATAATAACCAGCCGTTGTATCCTATATCTGCGTCATAGGCTCTGACTTTAGTCACCAAATGACCTGCGTTAACATTACGGGGAATCTCTTCCACACCCTCAGCAGAACCGTTAGCGCTGACTGGATATAAGATCACTGGAACGTTGTCGTTCTGGTCCAGAATAAACACGTTCACTGTCACGTTACTGCTCAGAGATGGACTTCCAGAGTCTGTGGCGAGTATGTGGAACTGAAACGTTTTGGAAGTTTCAAAGTCAAAACTCTTGAGCGCATAAATCTCCCCATTTTCAGAGTTAATATTGATGAAAGATGTAAATTTGTTTTCTGCACCACCATCTCTCCATATCTGATAGCTGACAGCACTGTTTTCACCGGTGTCTTTGTCAGAGGCGGACACAGAGAATAAAGATTTGCCTGGAGCATTATTCTCCATCACATAAAATGCATAAGGAGAAATCGTGAATTCCGGACTGTTATCATTAACATCAGAAATCAGAACAGTTATAGTTTTAACAGATGATAATGATGGCTGTCCCAAATCTTTTGTGACTAATGTGATGTCATACTGAAATTTAGTTTCCCTGTCAAGTAATCCAGATGTAACTAAAGAATAAATATTATCTTGTGATGAAGACATTAGTTTAAAAGGAATATCATCGGATATTGAGCAGGAGATTTTACCATTTAGTCCAGAGTCTAAATCAGTGACACTAATTAAAGCCACAGTAGTGCCAGGTCTGGAGTCCTCTGGAATATCACTTGAAAAGGATGTCACCTCTATTTCAGGCGCATTATCATTTACATCGACGATTTTTATTATTACACTTTTATCTGTCGCAAGTGGAACTATTCCTTTGTCTGATGCCTGGATATCAATCTCATATATATCTTTGATTTCATAATCTAAAAAACCAGTCACAATAATTTCTCCAGTAATCGAATTAACTTCAAAAAGTTTCCGCAAGTTGTCATTAACATTATTCCCTAATGCATAAACTACCTGTCCGTTTTGTCCCTCGTCTGAATCAGTTGCATTAACCTGCACAACAGTTGTGCCCACCGGAGCGTTTTCATTCAGCGTGACTGTATACGTTTCTTTTGTGAATACGGGCACGTTATCGTTTATATCCAGTACATCAATCAATATTTCTACTGAGCCAGATTTAGGAGGTCTACCCCCATCGGAAGCTGTTAATATTAGTTTAATGTGTTTCATCACTTCTCGGTCAAGTGGTTTGTGCAAAATTAAAATAGGGATTTTACCATCTTCTCGGTCTTTTATTTCAAGGCGAAAATGCTCGTTCTGGCTGAGTTTGTATGTCTGAACAGAATTAGCTCCGCTATCGGGATCGCGCGCTGCCTGTAGCGGATATCGCGCGCCCGGCATAGCAGACTCCCAGATTTCCAGCCGCTTCTCGTCCTCTGGAAATCGCGGACTGTGATCGTTCACATCCAATATCTCCACAGTAACATAGTGGATCTCTAGTGGGTTTTGTAAAGCAATTTTCAGATTAATTAAACATGGAGTGCTCCTCTCGCAGACCTCCTCTCTGTCTATCTTCCCGTTAACATACAAGACACCGTCATTCTGATTTACACTAAACATAGACTCGCCTGAGGTCGACACGATGCGAAATCCCCGATCCTTCAGTGTTCTGTGATCAATTCCCAAATCCTTCGCGATATTTCCAACAGCAGCTCCGTCCTTTTGTTCCTCTGATATAGAGTAGCGTATTTGTGCCCAAACTGCTCTGCCGAACAGCAGCGATACCGCAATGAAAGCGAGTTTAGCATTCAGCTCCATCCGACGAAAGCGTCGCCTTTGTTCCATGTTTCCCTGGTATTACACAAACCTTCCAGCGTAATTACGTGGTTATTCTAGGACATATTGTCCATCGTTGCTCACATTAAAACTGAAAACAAATCAGACAATGTAAGTCGCGGGACTATACAGACAAATCAAACAGCACCGGCGGTGAATATGAGAAAGCACGGATAAACCGAGAGGGCGGAACACACAAAAGCCATGAGCAACTGCTTGACGTCATGCATCTTTCTCTAGGTTTACACTGACATCTCGCGCTCTAAAGCGTCAGCTGCATTGCAACATCCAAAAATGTCAATGTTGTCAGCTTTAACTCGTTTTATCTGTCTGAAAACTGCTGGATTATTATAACCAAAAGTGTGTACGTATATGAATGACTAATTCGATCAACGACTGATTAAAAATATAGATTTTAATGAAAGTTTTATAGTTTTTAGCTGAAAAGATATTAATAAAAAAATAGTTTGTATGTTTTTATTATTTTTGAGTCCAAATAGTTTTGTTATTTTAACCTAAAATTGGTAAAAATGTGGACAAAACCAACTTGTGGGTTACACTTTTGGATTAAATGTATAGTCTATCTTTAATCCAGTGGTTTGTTTTGTCCATATTTCATCATTTGGCTAGGTTAAAATAACCCCACAATTTTAGAGTGCATGAACTCCTAAATAACTAATCCATACTAATTACATTGGTAACACTTTATTCTGATGGTCTATTTGAGTATTAGTAGACTGTCTGCTTAATATCTGCTGATACTGCTGCTTCAACAGACATGTAACTGACTATAAGAAACCTTGCAAGTGCATGTCAACCTACGCTAACCCCAACCCCAACCTAACAGTCTACTCATAATCTAATGAGAATTAGTTGGCATGTGGATGCAATGTAACTTAAATTCAACAAACGGATCATCAAAATAAAGTGTGACCAATATATGTTAAATTAGTCATTCATTTATTTTCTAATTGTATGTGACAAATTGTTAATAAATAGATAAAACCAGTAAGTAAAAAAGAAAGAGAAAGTTGTGGATTCTGAAGAAAGATCCAGCAGCCAAGTCCACTATTAAAATCAGACAACATGCCTTTAAAACACACTCTAACTACAAATAGTATGAACACCAGCAACACTCATAAGAGTTTTTAACAAGACAAGACAGACAAGACACAAATACCTTAGCACACTATCACTTTAGGTTTACAATTACAATCCTGCAACAATACTTAAATATATTACAATTGCAAACCAATACACTCTATGGATGTGTGGTCTATTTCCAAATTAAAATAAAATAGTGCATCATCCTGCAGGCAATATTATACAAAAAAAAAAAAAGGATCATGACTGTCATGATCATGACAATGCAGAGCACAATCCGAACAGAGCCCAAAAAAACACACATATATAGATCATGAAGTTTCAAACTGCTCTCCCTAATTCTCTCCTAAACAGAAGTGATACACACATCTTTTTTGTGTTTCTGCAGTCAAAAGATCTTTGGTGGTGTAGTGGAGCTTCTTCAATATTCTTAGCCAAAGTTTCATAAGAAAAAAGTGAGTAATTCCACTAACTATAATGCAAAAATAGTCACTATACACTCTCAAAAATAAAGGTTTATTAGCTGTCACTTGGGTGGTACCTTCTCAAAAGGTACACATTTGTACCTAAAAGGTCCATATTAACACCTCAAGGGTACATATTAGTACCTAAAAAGTACAAAAGTCTTCCTGTTAAAATTTGTAGGTATTAATTTATACTTTTGATGTACAAATATGGACCCTTCAAGTACAAATGTGTACCTTTTAAAAAGGTACCACCACAGTGACAGCTCACACACCTTTATTTCTGAGAGTTTAGAAGTGAAACATTTCAGCACCATGGACAGCAAATATGAACCACTCAAAGCTTTGTAAATGCCAAAGAGCAATGCGTAA